TATTATTATTATTATTATTACTATACTATTTTAATTAATAGTATAAAAAAGGGAATAGTTAAATTAGCTAAATATTTCCCTTAAAAGTTAGATTTCTTTAATCTAAATACCTATAAACTTTATATTATAAGTATAATATTAGATCTTAAATTTAAAATCTACTGTTTTAAAAATAATAAGCTTTTATACTATTATATTACTATTAAAAAGGATATTATTAATTTATTAAAAAGAAAATATAAATTATAAGTATATATATATTTATTATCTTTATCATGTATTAACTTACTAGTTATATACTAATATATTAATTTAAAGTTAAAATAGAAAAAGATAGTTCTTTAAACTCTAAAGATATATTAAATTCTAATATATTTTATAATTTAAACTTTAATAATAACCTTTATATTAATAGTAATATTATTATAGAAGCTAAATATATTAGTTATTTAGTTAAAAAGCTATTAAGATAAAATATAGGTTATTTTATTAATATTAATATATAATTTAATATTATATATATTTATTAATATTTATTAATATTTATTGATAGTTACTAATATTTATTATAAGTTAATTCTTTATTTTACTAAAATAATAATTATTATAAATATCTTATATTAGTTATTTTAGCTAGAAAGTATTTAGCTATTCTAACTACTTTTACTCTTATAAAAAGGGTTTTTTCTATTATTAATAATATAGCTACTAAAAATAAAAATAAACTAAACCTTTATACTATAATAGAGTTAATCCTATTAAAATATTAGAAAATTAAGGATTTAAAGGAATTAGAAGAGATATTCTTAGATAACTTAGAAGAAGAAGAAGAAGAAGAAGAAGAAGAAGAAGAAGAAGATTAATTAGTTAGATTTTTATATATATGGTTTATTTAGTTATAAGTTGTTTTATTTAATTTATATTATTTTACTTACTTATAAACTATTTATATTAATAGTCTTATAATATTAATTAATATTAATAATTATATAGTATTTACTTATATTAATAATTATATAATACCAATTAATATTAATAATTATATAATATTTATACTAATTTATACTAGTTAACTAGTCTGACTAGCTAGTTGACTTAGCTTAACTAGCCTAGTATTAGTTAATAAGGTGACTTAACTAGCCTAGTCCAAGTCAGCCTATTGACTTGACTTGACTTGACTAAATCCCAACCCTGGGCCCGACTCGACCCCGCCAAATCCAAAGATGCACCGACCGACCAGAACTGAAGAAACCCACGCACCCCTCAGTTACCTACCTTACCTAGGTACCTACGGCACGTGTTCCCGTCTCCAATATGCTGCGGGTGCCTCCCGAAGGTAGGTAGGTATCCGTAGGTACCTAGGGTCAGATCTTGGACATCCTCCCTGCAGCCAATCGTGCACCTCCGTCAACCGGAATGTCGACGCCGTTTCTGTTAAGCATCCATCAGCTTCTTCTGCCCGTCCGAATCTTGTCATCCATCGCCAGAAGGGGCACGAATACTCACACGTACTTGCCCGCAGGCGAGCAGAGAAAGACTGCCACGCCTGCTATGTCATCGGGCTCACCCAATCTGCCCAGAGGATTGTCCTTGCTGAGCTCTTCCACCCCGCCCAGATTGCTAATGAGGCCCTGCGCCAGCTTCGATGGGAAGAAGCCGGGCGCGATGATGTTGGACGTGATGTTTCTCGGCCCGAGCTCAACCGCCAGGTTGCGACCGAGATGCTGCGGCAATCACACATCAGCAAATTTCATCGTGGTCAGATGAGATACCCGACTCACATTCGCAGCCGCCTTGGAAGTGGAATACATGATAGTGCCGTGCTCCCCTACATGCGGCACATTGTGACCCGCCGTCGAACTGACAATCAGCACCCGAGCCGGATCTTCTTTCGACGCCGCTAATTCGAGCAGCGGAAGCGACCTGTCGCCATGTCAGCAACCCGGTCCGGCTTCGTCGACCGATTCTTCGCTCTCACTTTTGCACCAGCTCGAACACGCCTCGCACATTGAGGTCTAGGATTTTGACTGAGCTGCTTGGCGGAGCATCTTCAAACTTGGATCCCCAGGCTGCTCCGGCGTTGCACACCAGAATGTTCAGGCCTTTGCGACCAACAATATCCTTGACCTCACCAGTCAATCGAACGATGTCCTGCGAGTCAGCCACATTGGCGGCTATGCCTGTCGCCTTCCCTTCAATTCCCGGAATTTTGTTCAGTTTCTCAACTGCCTGGTCAATGCCTTGATCGCCGCCGCGTTTTCGAGCCGTGATCACGACCTGAGAGCATCCCGCAAGGAGGAATGCTGTGGCCATGTGGAGGCCAAGGCCGCGAGATCCGCCTGTGACCAGCGCCGTCTTCCCTTCGAGGGAGAAGGCGGATCTAAGGTTCTTGAGTTCGGACATGATTTTTGGGAACAAAGTCTCTGCAGATTGAAGGGCTCGAGAAGAGAGCGAACGAGCATGCGTCTCTGGATAGAGACAAGGGTGATCGCCCAGGCACTCTCACGGTCAAGACCCTCGCAATATGAGGTCTGTCAGCATGGGGCCTCCAAACATGCGGTGCTCTTCGGCTTGCCAGAGCTTTTTCCGTGGTTAGCATCGGCCACGTCGGGTTTATCCCAAGGGAGCTCCCCAAGTACCCAGGAGGATCTAGGGGTAGCTACCCCAGACTTCCCCAACTACCTTACTACCCCGCAATCCCGCTACCGACGCCATCCCGAGGGAGCACACGGCCAAGATGACGGCTTGCCATGCTAACGCCGTCTCTCTAGCATCATGATAATTCCCAATTCCCTTCCTTATCAGGTGAAACAAACACAGACCGTCAACCAGCTCCCTCAATTGAAGACGCACAAGCCCGCCCCCGGCAACTTTGTTATCGCCATTCAGTTCTTTCCAAGGTCTGGTTTTCGATTCCTCAGAGCAAGCACCGATTCAACATGGTCATCACGTCACCTTACCCATCTTTGGAATTGCCCAAGACAAACCTACTGTCGTATTTGTTCCCTCGTGATGGGGTGTTATCGGACGAGCCCCTGTGGATCGACTGCAAAGATGAGGGTATCAGCCTCTCCCCCAGACAAATGGAACAGTGGGTAAAACGCCTCTCCTTCGGCCTAGAACGACTAGGCCTCCGGCGCGGAGATGTTGTCATGATTTGCACTCCAAACCAGATATATGTGCCTGCTGCATACCTTGGGATCGTAGGGGTGGGATGCGTCTTCAGTGGTGCCAACCCGGCTTACACAGTGTCTGGTGGGTCTCCCCTTTACGCGGAAAGGGGCATGAGCTGACATCTGAAAGAACTCGTTCACCAGATGACCAACACCACCGCCAAGCTCATCCTAGCACATCCCAATCACCTCGAACAGGTGCTTGAGGCAGCAGCCAAAGCCGGAGTCCCAAAAAGCCGCATTTTTCAATTCTCTGACGCCGAGAACGAGACCAGGCGTGGCATTCCCGACTGGAGGCACATGATTGGGACGCCAACGGAGGCGGACTCGTATCAATGGCCGGAGCTGAGTCCTGAAGAGTCTACCAAGACTGTGGCCACGATCAATTACAGCTCCGGGACAACCGGTCTTCCCAAAGGAGTGTGCGTGTCGCACCACAATCTCATCGCCAATGTCGAACAAACAATATTCATGCGATACGCAGAGAAACCCTACGCCTTTGAAGCACGCCCTCAGGAGAGATGGGTTGGCTTTCTTCCACTATACCATGCCTATGGTCAGCTCTACGTCATACTCATGGCCGTCAAACTCCATGTCACCGTCTACATTATGAAGGAGTTCAGATATGAAGACTTCCTGTTCGCAATCGGCAAGTATAGAATTACCAGCCTGCAGGTAGCGCCACCAATACTGGTCATGCTCTCTAAGCGGCCTGAGACGGCTCGCTACGACCTCTCGAGCGTGAATGAGGTGCTTTGCGGAGCAGCCCCATTATCCCGAGAGCTTCAGAATGAGTGCCAACGGAGGTTCAAAATTCAGATAAATCAGGGTTGGGGCATGACGGAGGTGACGTGCGGCGCTATCCATGTGCCTGGCGGCATCAGAGATGATACAGGCAGCGTCGGCAGGCTCGATCCCAATTGCGAATGCAAGTTGGTTGATGAAGAAGGCAGAGAGGTAGCCTTTGGTCTGCCGGGCGAGCTGTGTGTTCGTGGACCGAATGTGTGCCTGGGCTACTGGCGAAATGAGGCTGCCACGAAAGAGGCGCTGGACAGCGAGGGTTGGCTAAAGACGGGTGACATCGCCATATGTAATAAAGATGGCTACTTTTGGATTGTAGACCGCAAAAAGGTAAGTGTTACCATGGCTTGGAGGATCTCATCCGGTGTTCAGTCTGACATGAAAGTAGGAGCTCATCAAAGTCAATGCTTTGCAGGTCGCTCCTGCAGAATTGGAGGCCGTTCTTCTCGAAAATGAGCACATAGCAGATGCGGCCGTCGTTGGAATTGTCATGTACGTCCGAATAAGGTCTCCTGAAGCTTTGAAACAACATTAACGCGAATCAGCGATGGCAACGAATGGCCGAAGGCTTACGTGGCGGTACAAGAGGCGTCCAGGGGCAAAGTCAAGCCCGAAGACATACAGGAGTGGGTCAAGCCCCGGGTTTCCAAGCATAAATGGTTAGCGGGCGGCGTTGCGTTTGTGGACGAAGTGCCCAAACTTGCAAGCGGCAAGATTCAGAGGAAGACTATGCGGGAATGGTCCAAGAGGGATGCTGCGGCACTGGCAGATACGAAGAGCGCCAAAGCAAGGTTGTAGAATATCTGTGTTCCTAAGCTTCCAGGGACACAGCAAGATCTTTGTGTAACCCCACGCATAGCGACGTGTTTTGTCTAGAACCTTGCCAATAATCGTCAAGACGCTACCATCAACCTTCAGACGGTGCGTTGGGTATTGATTACGTGCAGACACTAGCTCTTGCTTGATGAAAGACCTGTAAATACCAGCCGTCAAACCCAGGCAGCGACCCTCACGAGCAGCTAGATCGCCCGGGGAAGCAACTCGTCGCCTCGGTCGTCAACGTTGATGTTAGGTAACTCAACGGGCAGCTGCGACATGCGACCCCTCACCGAAGGCGAGATTCGGATTTAGCAGCATGACGGACCCCGTACCCCGTCTGAACTCATCGCCTATCTGACATGGGATGTGCATTGGAACCAACGGGTAGCATCCAATGTTGATTACTACGTCAAGTGTCCATCGCCTCTCCATATTGGCCCGAGCTCCTCCGGTTGAGGTTTCCCGGCTGCGTCCCGTTGCTTTTGCTGCCCAGCCCAAGACTCGCCGCCCCCGCTCTGCCGGTTCCGCACCTCTTCATCCGCATCCTCGACGACAGTCTCACGAAAGTCAATCACTAAAGCGACGGGACCAGGCCCGGGGTTTCTATCTCCAGCAACCTGGCTTCATCGTCGCGTGCCACGCTACGGGATAAACATTCTATCCCGGGAAGCCGCCATGCATTCTACTACAACCACCCCCTTTTGAACTGCCGAGGAACATCTCATCCATGCCATCAAGTGTTGCCGCCTTGTCAAAGTCTCCCAATCATACCGGTGGCATTAACGGTAGGATCTTAATGCGGTAGGCCTGCAGTTGCTACTGTAGGTTCGGAATGCCAATCGGCCAAAGTTAAGCCTTGGGGCCTTCGTCTGGTCTCTGGGAATCTTGGCCCAAGCGGTGCCATCACCTCAAACATGACTTGTTTTCACTCCAAGTCTCGTTCCGACTGAGTCATGGTGGCTTGTTGGCCTGACCAGAGCCGTGCTCTCTCACGAGATCCCCTGACTCGAGATGGTTGAGATCGCTACCAATGCCGATGGCGGCGAATCCAACCTGCTACTCACACTCCAGTCACACGCCCAAGTGAGCCCGCACACATGCGGCAGGCCATGCAATCGGCCGTCCTCCAGACCGCCCAGCAGCCCCGCCCAGGACAAGTGGTCCACTCCGTCTGTTTGGAAACCGTTTGTGGGTCATGTTCCGTAGTTTCTCTCGGTTCTTTCGTTGCGTCGAGGATCTGAGAGGCCGAGAATGTTACTCTTCCAGATACCACTGGCTTCATTGCGTTCTCTGCCGGAAAATGTTGTGCAATCGTCGGTCATGACGTTGGGATATGCGATGCCGAACCTCCCAGATGACCTATATCAGCAACCATCCAGCTAACCCTTTAGTCTCGCCGTCCTTTGACAGACCATGCTCCGATCCATCAAACTTCTTTCTTTGACTTCTGTCAGTTTTCGTTCGCCTTGGCATCTTCCGTTTTGTCGACTCCCGTCACGCTCACTCGCCGAAAGGTGGTTCAACCATGGGAGACTTCTTGCTCCCTCAGACCGCGCAACCCGGAGATCGGGATGCGACTAGACGGCTATCGGCACCCATTCATAGCGAACGCCATGTTCGGGTGATTTGCGTGGGCGCCGGCGCCTCCGGCTTGTTGATGGCGTACAAGCTGCAGAAACACTTCCACAACTACTCCTTAGTATGCTACGAAAAGAACCAGGCAGTCAGTGGTACATGGTTTGAAAACAGATATCCAGGGTTTGGCAACTCTCATCATTGCCTTTTGACGTATCAACTAACTCTGGACGTTCCCCAGCTGTGCCTGCGATGTACCTTCGCACAATTACACCTGGAGTTTCGAGCCTAAGCTGGACTGGTCAGCCGTATACCCGCCGGCGCCAGAGATTCGAGAGTATTTCGAGAGCTTTGCAAGGAAGTACTCGCTGGACCAGTATATCAAGCTGCAGCACCAAGTAGTAGGGGCATTTTGGAACTCCAAGGAGGGGGGCTATGATGTCCACGTGAAGGATACGCAGACGGACACCACTGTCGTCGACCATTGCGACGTCCTCGTCAATGCTGGCGGCATCCTGAACAACTGGAAGTGGCCTGCCATCCCTGGACTTGACAAGTACAAAGGCACCCTCCTGCACACAGCCAATTGGGATGACTCCGTCTCCTTGGAAGGCAAGCATGTCGGCCTCATCGGCAATGGATCCTCGGGTATCCAGGTACTGCCCGCAATACGCGACAAGTGTCACAAGGTGACGACCTTCATTCGCGAACCGACGTGGGTGTCCCCTGTCCAAGGACTCGAGCAGCACCAGTTCAGCCCCGAGGAGCTGAAAGATTTCCGCGAGAAGCCTGGAGCGTTGATGGAATATCGCAAAAACATTGAATCTGGCCTCAACGGGCAGTTCGGGATCTTTCTGAAGAACAATAAGATCAATCAGGAGACGCACGCCTACATGCTTCAGCAGATGAAGGAAAAGCTCAACAGCCCCTACCTCGAAGACAAACTCATCCCCGAGTGGAGCGTTGGCTGCCGCCGTCTCACCCCTGGTGTGAACTACCTTGAGTCTCTCACAAAGCCCAATGTCGAAGTGGTATACGGCGAGATCACCGAGGTAACTGAGCGCGGGTGCGTCAGTGACAACGGCCAAGAGTACCCTGTAGACATTCTCATCTGCGCCACCGGTTTCGATACATCCTTCAAGCCGCGCTTCCCCGTTGTCGCTCCATCGGGTGAGAACCTCCAAGATAAATGGGCCGTCAATCCGGAATCGTATTTTGGAATGGCCGCGTCTGGCTTCCCCAATTACTTCCATATGCTGGGCCCCAACTGCCCCATAGGCAACGGCCCCGTTCTGTCCGCAATAGAGGCACAGGCCGACTGGATGCTCAAGATTGTGGATCGGTACCAGACCAACAACATTGTCGAGTTCGCTGCGAAGGAGGAGGCTGTGCGGGACTTTGTCGAGTACAAAGAGTGGTTCATGACCAAGACGGTATGGGCAGACCCGTGCCGTTCGTGGTACAAGCCGCGGGCCGATGGGCCTGTTGTGGCGTTGTGGCCCGGCTCGACACTTCATTACATTGAAGCTATCAAGGAAGTTCGATTTGACGACCTCGACGTGAAGTACGCCGGCAATCGCTTTTCGTGGTTGGGCAATGGGTACTCTCAGACGGAGCTTGATGACACCTCGGACTGGGCATACTACATCAGAGACAAGGATGATGATCCACCCCTGACCACCGCCGGAAAGCGAAAGATTCTGACTAGGAGCGGATCGGTTAAGGGTAGAAGTCTTGTTTCTTTCAGTGGCAAGCCGGAGGACGCTGAGCCTGGGCCGGCTAAAGAGATGGCCCGCCTATGATGGATGTGGTGTTGGAGAGAACTAATGCTTCTGAGCAATTTCAGTGATGACACAATACTAGCTGTGAGCGAGCAACTTACATAGCGTTCTGTTTATGCACCAGACATTGCATCAATCTGCTTCTTTCCTTCACCTTAATCGTGACGTTCACTGGGTGATGAATCAAAGGCGGTGACTTCCCAGGTATGTCTTGACAATCGACGAGGGGCTCGTCTGATGCTTACTGCACGTCGTGAATCAGAAAAGAGCAATGGTCTCGTCACCGCTCGTATAAAGCCACACACAAACGACCGTAAGTGCGGACACGGAAGCTTTAGAAGACACCACTTTCACAATTCCCGAGCTCCAGAAGACATCATGGTCAGCACAATCCTGCCACTGCTATTGGTATGGAGTTTGTTGGGCGCTGGGGTGTTTGCAGAGAAAACCAGCACGCCAAACACAGGGTACGTCAGCGGAGGGGCCGTTGCTGGTATAGTTGTCGGTGGCGTGTGCGTTGTTGCACTCATGGGGTTGGCCGTCCACCTTGCACTTAAGAACTCTTGGTAGTTGGAAGACAAGGGAATGGTTCATTCGAGGTATTGAGCCAACCTCACAGACGAACACCCAAGCATGATCGCCGGGACACATGCAGTAGATGGTTCGGCAGTCAAACTTCCACGAAGTTTCGCCTCATCGAGCTGCCACGCGGGGTCACAGGTTTGGTGAACCAGAACATAGGCGACCAACGAATACATACATCGCATGGAGTCGAGACGGGGTCGCAGAAGAAGCCATCTGGTCGGAGAGGTGAAGTGGTAGTGGGTATTTATCAAGACCATTATAATTGAGCCGGATTCTAGGCCGTCTCGGCTTCCGCCTGTTCTGCGTTCTGCTTCTTCGCTTTGTCAAAATCCGGCATTACTTTGGGTTCGTGCCCCAGAGCGACTACATCAACGTCAGTCAATAACCTGGCATTCCTTAGCTGGAGAAGGGATAACACTAACGCCTATCGAAGAGGAAGTATGAAGTGACGAGAAGGATGGGCATGGCGACCATGGTAGCGGTCCACTTCCTCGCCGCCGAGCCGTACGCTTTACGGTATTCTTTGCTGCCTGGAGCCGGTGTTTTTGGGGTCTCCGTCGCCGCGGAAGATGGCAGAGTGGTCTGACGAGCTTCAGGCCGCGCGGGGGCAATTGTAGGCGTAATATTGTGCGCGACCGGCGTGGGAATTGCTGTCGGGGCAGTCTTAGACATGGTTGACGCGGACGGAACGGTGGGGTTTGCGATAGGTGCCGCCGTTGTAGGGGCCGAGGGTGTCTTAGCAGTTGTCTTAACCGATGTTGCTGCAGCGGCCACAGACGTGGCGATCTTGGGCTTTGTTGTAACGGCGGCGGGCTTCGAGGTAGTGACCTTCGCAGCCGTGGCTGTTTTCGCGGCGATCGCCTTCTTGGGCGCAATCGCGGATGTTGCAGTCGTAGTCTTCGCCGCCGTCCTCGTCGCCGTCTTCGTAGTCAGGTTGGCAGCGGGTGCAGTCGTCTTCTTCACAACCTTCGTGGCTTTCGCAGCTGTGCTCGTGGACGTGGCGGTCTTGGGCGCTGTAGCAGCAGCGCTTGTCTTGGAGGCCGCGGCGACTGTGGTAATGGGCTTCTTCGTCGCGGCAGCCGCAGTGCTGACACTTTTCTTCGTTGTCGTCGTCGTCTTCTTGGCTGCCGCTGCAGCCGCGGTGGTCTTCGGGACAGCGACCGTCGTGGTCGTGGAAGTCGTGGCCGTCTTCGCGCGAGTCGTATAGCATCGTTCCGCTAGGAGCCCCGCGCGACGCGGGGTCTGGGCGGCAAAAACACGCCAGGCGGTGCTCGTAAGTGATCGAGAGAGAGTCATTAAAGCCATGGTGAGAATATCGTTACAATAGCTGAAAGATCACACGGTTGCCGGCAATGTTTCGTTTCAAAGCGCGGTAGGTGTAGCTCGACAATTTTTTTTTCGACTCGCATTCGGTCTTGAAGAGTCATCTCGCTGTACGGAGAAGAATAGACAGGGATGTGGTGCCGTTAATTGAATTGCGCCGTCAACAGATCGGCATTATGGGCGCAGAATGCGACTCTAGCTCGGGCAAGAGCGCGTTCGCGTCGTGATGGTTCATGCATTAGAGATTATCGTCAAGCCAGAAATGTCGCTGACATCAAACTGGACACCTAGATCCGTGGACGCAGCTGGCGCCAGGTGGTGCCGTGCTTATCGGACACTGGGCAGCAGTAGGTTCCTTACCTTACCTAGGTGGATCAGGTTTTTCCGTCAGGAGCTTCCAAAGTCTTCACGCTTGAGGAAGTCAATGTCAACGACGTGCTATCCTAGTTGGGGGTCTCCTCCAAAGCTCAGATAACCACATGCTGGACGAGCATATACACGAGAACGTACAGCTGTGGGCATTTGGCAACAAGGAAATAGCCCAGGCAGTCGCACGTGCTGCCGGCGTTGGACTCTGGTTCTCGCTCCCAGCATCTCCAGCAGGCCCTCCACGATGCATGGCTGGGAATGTCGTGAGTCCCATACAAGGGTGCCGGCTACCGGACCGTTGTTTGATATTAGCTGGTAAGGTCATGTTTGTGAGGCTTTTCCCGCTCACCCTCGTCGGGCCCAGTCCAGCGCGGAATGCTTGTCGACCAGTTGACGGTACCTGCCGGCAAGTGGTGGCACAAAGGTTGGTACTGGGTGGATTCTCCGCTTCGCACCTTAGGTGTACTGACTTGAAAAGGTGTACAGCCTCGATAGCCTAGTTGGTGAGGGATCTTGTCATGATGATTGAGAGATACTCACAACTTTGCTCGGTACATGGGCTGACGGTGACCGAGGAGGATTTGGCATTACTCAGCATCTCTCTACTACATCTCGGTCAAAGACCAGCACCGGCAGTGCTTGCCTGAGCAGAATTCAAGTGGCTTTCTACATCTCTTGTCTTAGCGACGCCGCCAGTGGCCATCGCTCATCGATATTTCGATTGGCCCTCGACTAGGCTGCTCTTGGGCTTTGGCGATTCCGAAATTTGAAGGCAGGACGGCAAAACCAATTTATACCGCGGTCGCCCAACTAAGGCACAGAAGTTTCTACCTACGGAGATGCCGTATCATCGGTTGGGGGTGAACACCTGCTTTCAGCGTCTCCACGAGGGCGCCATTGCGCATCCAGAATCGAACACCAGGGCTTCTGGCGTCTCTTTGGGGATTTGACCCTATATGCAAGTGCGTACAGGCCCAGTATTGCCAAAGAGTTGCAACGAAACAACAGCGGGAGGCCAGGGTCATAAATGAAACGAGATCGCGTCGATCTGGTCATCCCTCAAGGTGTTGCATGGCAATTGTCGAGAGACTTTTGCAGTACCGAACGGCCTGGACGCATGCTATCGAGCTGAGGATGGTGCCACCAGGACGCGATGGCAGTTCGCTTGAGAGTTTGCGTAATTGCAAACGGCCCAATTGGGTGCTGCATGTTCCCCTGTATACCGCTTTTTTCCTCTCCTTTACCGACAACAATGCAGTGCTAACCTTCGAGCAATGGCGCGGTGGAGGAGAAAAATAATTGGGGATCAAGGGAAACCCCGCTCGGGTAAGTGAGACACCCTCCGTCCAAGTTGTTCATCATGGCCTGATCATCTGCAGATTGATGTAGCAGTGAAGTGCAAGTATCCATGCCCACAGTCAATCCATGAAACTACGGCTCCCTACGGCGGCATACGGTATGCGGTGGGACTGGGCGTTGCCGTCAATTCAATCCAATTACGCCGGGCTCTCCGCGAAACCAGAAAAGAGAGGGCGGGTGAGTATTTGACCTTTTTCTTGTTTGTTTCTCTACTTGTTGCCGAGATTTTTATGAGATCTCTAATGCATCCTTTGTATCTCTAGAGCTTGATGTGGTATCATCCTTCCCCTCACCGGTGTCTCTACCGTTCCTTTCCCCACATGCATATACACAGACAGTTTTAGGGTTGACTTCTGCGTGGCCACCCTTTCACCAACATGTTTAGATTCCTACTTGGTGTTGTTAAAGCGCTCGATTCCGTTCTTGATGCGCTTGTCAATGCCCTTGGCCATCTTCTCGAGGGGTAGCCTGTCATCGATGCGCTTGACGATGCGGGAGACAGGGGGTTCAACGCGCTTGATGCCTCTCTCAGCAGCCGGGGTGAAGTACGAGATGTTTCGCTCCCAGCGAGGAGCCCACTTTGTCGTCTGCATGGCGAGACGCTGCTCAGCGCCGGGCAGCATGAGGTAGATGGGGAGAAAGGCACCGACAGTGGCGACACCGTAGCAGAGAGTCTCGGTGGACTTTGCGGCAGGAATACGCGGAGCCATTGTGAAATCTGCAGGAAATGAAGTCGAATTAACAACCAAGCCAAAAGGACAGGCGGGCGTTGGTACAGTGTATAGCGGGTAGTGGGTGACAATTCGACGATGTAGCGTCGACGGATGCACCAAGGAAAGCCACGCTGTTCGTACCTTTCGATTTGTCTCGCGTAAAAAGGATAATAATAATAGGCTCCTAAGTACTACGGCTGGTCGAAAGAATTTGAGGTGTTGTAAGCGTTGCAGTTGGCTCAGCGTTGGTTGATGCGTTTCTCGAAGTAAATGGATGCAGCGGTTGAATGAGTCTGAAAGATGGAAGAGATGATTAGATGGATGAAGACATGTCGCACAGCGGGAGTCCATGGGGAAAAGCTACGAGGCAGATGGCGTCCCTTTAAGGAATCTCGGATTCAGGGGCAGCGCCTCGACATCTACCCGTCTTGAGCGTGCGGGGTAAGCCAGATCATCACGCGGACTGCCAGCCATACGTCGCAGGCCAACGAGGAGGCGAGGGGAAGAGGGGCAAGGAGAGTATGGTGAGTCCAAACGAGGGAAACCAAGCAAAGCGAGGAGACGCACGCACACCCAGTCGAAAAGCAAACCAGGGGCGATGCCTTTGTCTGCGCTTGTGTAGGTAGGGGCAGGTCAGTCGCCTGGTGCAACGCTACAGACATGAGTGTGGGCAGATCAGTGACGCAAGCATGGCCTGGTCGATAGCGATTCGGATACCGTTGACCGGCGTGTACCTCCTGGCGGTGGTTCAGCGAACATACCACCTCTGCAGCACCAGAATGTTGTCCAAACTGGCCATTTCCGTGGGTTCTCGTTCGAGCTCGAGTCGAACCGTCTCCCTACCTAGATAAGGTAGGTAATTAGATAGACGGGTCGAGTGCTAGAATGGAAACAAACACAACCTACCGAGGGAACCCTGATGTGTCTTCCGAAAGTGCAAAGCGCCCGCAATGGAGGCAGCAGGAGGCCACCCCACACGAACCATCCAGGCCAGGAAGGTCCGAGGCGACGTGCTGAAAACAGTCTTCCAATTGCATGAATGACATGCCGCTTTCCTCTGGACTCTGAAGGTGTCGGTGTGCTGAGGTGAGCCGGCTGCAGCCAATAAAAACAAAGACGGGCAGGGAGAAGGCACGCCGGCGCAGACACACGACTACTGTGGGGCGATGAGCAACAGGGGACCCGCCTGAAACCCACTTCCCCAGACGCTGTAATTCCGGGGAAAACAGCGCTAAACCTCGAAGGCGCACAGGATCCCCAGCGCGCCCCCCAGTGGTCCCGATACCCGCGCCCACACCACAGCTGGGTGCAGCGGCACAGCGGGAGACACTGGGCACCGCACCTCCCGCCCCCCTCAGGGTCCACCCGCCTGGTAGTGTCGCTGATGCTGACGACGTGGACTCACAATCAATCGGAAAGCAAGACGCAGTCCCAGCTTATGCACTTTGATGCTGAGTATATGCCTCCAATTCCTGAGGGCACATTCGCACAATGAGGGAGGGTCTGCGGCGGTGACTTTTGACGGCGACCGTAAAGATCAGTGCATTAAACGACTCCTACCCTACCTGACCTGCCACATTTGTCTCCTAGTTACCCGACCAAAGTACACATATGGGTTGGACGCAGCATGCATGGCAGTGGTACTTTAACCGATGGAAGTATTAGAGAGTGGGCCCGGGTATGTGCCGGTACCTCCGGGAAGGTAGATAGCTTGCGTTGGATCGTCGCCCAGCCCGCGCCGAATGGGGTCAGGTGGCAGAAACCCCGCCCTATGGCGTGCCAGGCATCAGGTCTGGCTCATCTCACGATGTTGAGTCAACACACACCAAGTGCCAGATACCTTGTTCTCTTGCATGTGAAGTGGAGTCGTAGACTTTCAGAGCCTCAACCAAGATAGTAGTCCCAGCATCACTTTCACCATGCATGAGCCGAAAGAAGTCTTGCGAAGCAATCGTGAACTCCGGCCATTCGGATACTTCGAACACCGCTGCTATCCCTCACAATTGCACGATCTGTTGAGTGCCCTCGGCCCACCATTCGTTTTCCCTCCGACAGCCAATCTCAGGCCCAGCCTCAGAGCCGTCCTGTGGTATCCAACCCATTTCGAATCAGGAGAGAAGATGAGGCTCGAGATATATGCACATACTCTTCCGACCGGGTATCCAATAGCACTGCGCATCCAATCCTCGCCAGTCAATACTCGCCGTCTATATCACCGATGGCACACATATTGAGCTCCCAATCTGCAGCTTGTCGCAGTTGAGCTTGTTATTGGCCTTGACCAGATCCTCCACTCTCATCTTGTGTTTCTCTGCAATAGCCCAGCACGTATCACCTTTATGGATCTTGTACGGTACCGCCTGTCCACCACACTGAGGCAACTGCTCCGAAGGCGTCCGGTAAAGCCACCAGGTAAGCAACATGAGGAATAGCCCGATGATAAGGAAGAAGTTGAGCAACGGTTGCCAGCCCTGTCGCCAATTCCTTCTCTCCTCCTCCCACATGTGGTGTCTGAGGGCAGCGTCGATGGGCTCGTGGCGCGAGGGTCGTCCACCATGCGAAACCTGCGTCAACTGGCCGTAACTGTTGCCTGGGGCACCCTCCCAGTAGCTGCCGTCTGCATCACGGTATGTGTATATCTGCGTGTCCGCATCGTAGCCCACTCGCTGCATGCCGTCGGGCAGCCGTTCTTCGTCCGTGTCGTAGCGGGAGAAACGAGACATGATCGGAAAGTTTGGAGGCGATGGGTTCGAAGGTAGGTAAATGCAGAGAAAACGGATTTTTGCAATGGTCTTTCTCAAATTCGACCAGCTCCAAGTCCTTCTTGTAGCGGGCGTTGTTTTGATGAACACGCAAGCAACATGTAATGACTGCCGTGGCTCATCCAGGGGGCTGAGTTACTGGGGCTGAGCACCAGTCACACCATGCAGACGTCATTTGGGTAGGTGTCTGCTTATGTCATACCGAGGATAATCCGATAAGCCGGTGCGATCGCCGCCTCACCGGAAAGGCTCTTCCGACTAGTGCAGCCAAGGCAGTTCCTCCGTGTCAAGCACTCAATTGTCCGTTGGCGAAGCATCTCGCCATTTCTCCATTCAAATTCGCACATCAGATTTCAGCTCCAGTAGCTAGACTTGTGATGGCACCTGCCCGCAGGTGCCATAGTGGTCTATGCAGCCTTGCCGCCCAGCCCTTCTCCACAGCTAGTTTCTCCCGACATCACCACTTTCGCCCAGCTACGTGCCTCGTCCGTAATTCATGGCTTCCTCGAATGAGCCATCCATTTCCTTACGTCTCTTTGAGACAGGTCTTCAGAAGGTCCCTCTGGATAATCATGTCTTTCCACGAGACCAACTCGTCTACGTCCCAGTTCACCCACACGAATCGCCCGTTCAGAAACGCAGCCTTCTCTGAGGCTGCCCATACCACGAAGTCCGCTGCAAGCTTCACATCAGTTTGGGATCTGTTCAGCTTGGACTTGGTTAGCATGGCCGACTGCACCGCCCCGGGATGGAGTGAGATGACGCGCGCCTCTGACGCTGGTATTTCGATGGCGATGACTTCCGCCATCCGCAGAATCGCCGCTTTGCTCGATGAGTAGCCACTCAGGCCAGGCATGCTTGTATCGTGCGCCGCTCTAGTATTGATATTGATTATGACACCCGGAGTGCTGGCCCTGTGTCCTCTGCGGTGTCGGAGGTAAGCCTGTGTGACAACAGCTGTACCGAAGACGTTGGTCTCAAACGCCTGCCACCAGTCTTTCAAATCCGCGTCGACAAAAATATCTGGCTCCGGGAGGTATCCGGCATTGTTGACCAGTATGTCTGGAGACCGTTCCATTTTGGAAAAGGCGGCTGCGACGTCGTCCTGGTTTGACACACTCCCCACATGGATTGATACCCTCAGATTGACAAACTCCGCCGCAAGGTTCTCAGCGGTGTCCCTTAGTGTAGACTCATTTCGACCCATGAGAATGAGCTCGGCCACGTTGGCTTCGGCGAATGAACAGGCCATGGTTGTTCCAATTCCTGAGCCACCTCCGGTCAACAGGACCGTCTTGCCCGAAAACTCCTCCCGGACTAGAGTTGGTGACACTCCTGGATAGGTCTCGTAATGTTCTGACTTGATGAAGGACGCCATGGTGAGATCGGAGTGTTCTTTGGGTAGGTGTCTGGTCGTTCCACGTCGAGGGCCCGCGTGAGGGTTTATAGCAGACCGTCGCTGGTTGGGTCTATGGCGGAGACATGGACAGCCCAATGTGGGTATCCTTTTGTCTCCTTCAGAGCAGCTTCTGGGAAATATGCCTGGCTGGCAAAACGGATGATGTGGCTGCTACAGCTCGACGGTCAATGCGGCCCTATTCCCACAGGTAACCAAAGGCCTGAATGGTAGAGGTCTGAGCATGTTAGAGTTCAGGACTTCCGTGAGAATGATGCCACAGATGTCCTGACTAATGAGCCTCAGTCCGGACGGCAACGGTTGCGATGTCGAGGCCTCGGTCGTAGTATTGATCATTACATGAAAATTTCAACTGCTCTTCTACCTTACAGGTTGTATTGTATTGAATTCGCGTGGTAAGGGACATGAGAGTAGCCTATTGCTCAATTTTTCACTCCATGTGGAGTACCCATACTAGGTTTGAGCCAGTTCCTGTGGGCTCAGGCCATCCATCCTTGCGACATTTCATTCATCGTTCTTCCGTTTCCAGGATCTCAATGTTCGTGAAGTCGGAAGGATCAAGAACGGGTTCGCTCTGACCACACGAATATACCCCGAACATAACTCCGCAGAATGCTCCACCCACAGGAGGATATATGGTCAAATCTTCGGATTTGAACGATACGTTTGCCATAATTCCGCCGATGTCAAGACTCATCTCGTATTTGGTCGGCTGCGCGGCGATGGCCAGCTGCACATGGTGATCCAAGTCCAGTCCCGGGCATGCTGAGGTCTTGGATCGAAGAACCGGGTAACCAACCTGTAGTCATTAGCAACAGCCACGAGTGTCGATGCTCCCGGCCTCTGTACCTTGAGTTCGCTGACCTTGCCTGTAGGCTCTCTTGTCACAATTTTCGGAACAGCCAGGCTTCCGTCATCTTCCCGCACCGCCGCGATTCCGATGGTAGCGTATGAATACTGGCTCCACCAGACGGTGATGCCAGACTCATATCCTGCTCTGCTGGGTTTGAAAATCATCTCCGCCCTGAACGACTCGTTGTATGACGTCTGTTTCCTGAGCAACATCGCAGGAGACTCTGGGCTGTTGAGGTCGAAACAGTTTCCGAATAACCTGAGATACCCCGGACGCTCAGTGAGGCTGTAGCAAGGCTTTATAGGTGTGTCTAAATATGTCAACTGCGGCACTCCAGTGCGATTGATGCACACCACATACTCTTATGGTACCAACCAAGCTCGAGGCTAGACTTTGATAGGTCCGCCCTCCATCTCACCCCGACTGCGTTTGCCACTGGTGCTTTCTGGACGTGCTCCCTGCCGACAGTTCGGAGAGTGATATTGCGACCCTGGTTGAATATGGGCCAGTCGTCTACCCAATCGACCCGAACGAGGAATGTCTCACGGCCCATCTGGGGCTCGATATACTTGCCCTCGGACTTCACGGGCCGAACACCTAGCATCACCGCCCACCATCTGCCATCACCGTCCTCAAATATGTCGCAGTGACCGGTTCTCTGTACCTCTTCTTCGGGGCCGTTGTACCACAAAGCCTGTCCTTGCCCCTCCCATGGACCGTATGGGCCGATGTCACTCCTGAAAACCCATTCCTGGTGGCCCGCTTCGGTGCCGCCCTCGGCAGTGAACAGGTAGTAGTACCTCCCCTTGCGAACGATGTGGGAACCTTCAGCTATTCCGTGCGGAGACTCACGGATGACTTGAGGGGGTGTGAGTGTCCTCCCCGTAGTGATGTCGATCTCCGAGATGTGGATTGCGAAGTCTTTCATTTTCAGTCCTGGCGTTCGCTTGCTCATACGCACTGTGGTAGAGAGATAAACCTTGTCGTTGTCATCCCAGAACAGCTGGGCTCCTGGTCAGAGACAACGTACCAATGTCGGGGACTGGGACTCACATCCTGATCGAATCCAGGGTTGTCAAAGTAAACAGGGTCTGACCAGGCGTTGTCATCCCAGATGTTATCCGTCCAAACATAGAAGCCCCTTGGGAAGATGCGTTCCTACGAGTGAATGGATCAGATGAGCCGCCGCCAGTGATAACAGAGGATCTCACGTCGCTTGTCGGTCGATATCTCTGAAAAAGACCATTGGCCAAGTACCAGCGCTTTTCCTTCGGCCGATAGCGCAGAGTGCTTGCCCAGCTACCTGCACCAGGCTCAACTGTTCGCATCTCAATTTGACTTCGGCGTGTAAGTGCATGACCAATATGTTTCCAATTGATCAGATCTGTGGACGAGTAGATGGCGCATCCAGGGAAGTACTCGAAAGTTGAGGTGGACAGGAAGAACGTCGTTGGAGTGGAGTTTGTGGCTGGAACGACGCATACAGTCGGGTCTGGATTGAAGCCCGGAATCACAGGGTTGGAGAAGACAGCTCCATCTCTAACGGATGCCATGGTGATGCACCTCTCAGTGAGAGTCAAGCTGTTCCAGTGGATGTTCACTGTGGCACCAGGCAGACCTCAGGTCGCTTTCAGAAGCTTCTTACAAACAGGACAAAATCTGGCTTATGGTGCTTTTAAGTTGGGAGTTGGTCTCCAGATGCTTGCTGAGCGTGAGCTGGTGCTCGTCGATCGGGATCATTTTCTCCAGCAATCACAGGCCGTTCTAGCTAGCTAAGCGATCTCCACTGTTTCCTAGTTATTTAAGCAGCCGAACTAAAGATAGCTTTAGAAACTATACTACCCTTATTAACTTAAATTAGTATTATATACTTATATACTTAAGGTTTAAGAGTTCTACTTTTATTTATATAATATTAAAAGCTAGTATTTTAAAAAGACTAAATAGTTTATAAAAAGATATATATTATTTAAGAAAGGCTACTAGCCTTATATTTTAAAATTTAACTAGTATTAACTATGAAAGCTAGACTAATCTCCTTACCCTCTACTAATAACCTTTAGGTTATATAACTATAGTTTACACTTAAATATCATTTTTGCTTTTATGCTTTTCTATTAATTAAACTTTAACTATTATAATAAGCTAAGTTAACTATCTTTTTTTAGCTACTTCTATCTCTATACTATATTTAATTTATACTTATTTTCTAGTATCTTCTTTACTATTTAGATATTTACGCTTAAATAATATCTTCTATTTTACTATATAGTTTTAACATAAAAAAAGCTTTATTACCATTAGCTACATTTTTAATATTCGATTTACTCTTCTTAAGTTACTAACTTTTTAAACTATTTTAACTATTTTAAAGAAGTTTATAAAGTATTTATAAGTATTATAATTATTATTAATAGTTTAACTATTTCTATATTAGGTTTCAAACTATATAACTTTAATATGTCATACTTGTGAACTATTTTAAATTAATACTTCTAAGTAAATTTAAATAGAATTTTCTTAATTATAGAAAAAGTTATTATATTTAAAACTTTTAATTTTATTAAGTTTAGTTTTATAATTTAAGTTATTTAGCATAGCTTTACTTAATTTATATATAAGTATAATAAGACGGAAAGATATTATAGTTACTACATATATTACAAATAATAAAGAATAAACTAAAAGCTTTATTTAAATAATTAGATTCTTGTATTATAGTTATGATAACGTTTTTAAGTACAGTAGTAAAATGTTATACTACTAAGCTGATACCTTTAAATATATATTTGAACTATTATTAAGCTTATGTTATACTATAGATGATATTTTTATAATATTATAAATAATATACTTATAAATAATAGTGTTATAAATAATACTTTTATTAATATATTTTACTACTTTACTACTTACTTACTTACCTTCTTCTATTAGAGATAAGTTAAGCTAAATATTGATTACTAGTTGATTAAGATTTATTTATTTAGTTACTTTATTAAAATTAAGTATAAGTTAAAATACTAAGTATTAAGAAAAGAAGTATTAAGTAAATTATAATACTTATTTATATAGGTTAACTAAACTATTAATATACTATTTATAAGAGAATTATCTATTTAAATATTTTTTAAAAAGCCTATAAAGCTTATACTAATTATTATAAAATAGAAAAATATAATATAGAGAATATACTATATTTTTGTATTTCTTATATATATTTAAATTTAATTTATAGAAGTATAAAGCTAAAAGCTTTAATTAGAAAAGTTTTAGACAGTATAATAAGGACTAATTTAATATATAAACTATAGCTTATTTACTTTCTTCTATAGTTTTTAATAAATCTTATATTATAAAGTAGATTGATAAGTATATATAAAGATACCTTCTTAATAACTATACTTATAGCTATTCTTAAAGCTATACCTATAACTTTATTTATAACTTTATCTACAGCTTTATTTTAGATAATATAATAGCTATATTAATACTTATAAATAAAGCTATTAATTAAATATATTAAATAGACTAAACAGTTAAATTTTTTAACTATTCTGAATTACTATTCCTTATATTATATAAAAGCTAAAGTCAGATAATTTAAAATTACTATTTACTATAAAAAAGTATAATAGCTATAATTAAAGTAAATATAAGCTTAAAAATAAGATAAATAAGAAATATTACTTATAAGCTTAAAACTTTATAATTATACTATACTAATGTCTATTTCTATTTCTTAGAGTATTCTTATTTAATAATAATATTATATTATAGCTTTCTAAATAAAAAACTATATATTAAACTAAATAGTATTTTATACTATTTTCTTTAATTAATAGAGAGTATAAATGAAAATACCTACATAGTATTTCTAACATTATACCTATATATAAAGTAATATTTTACTATAATCTTTTTATAAAAGAGCTATGTTATAACTATAAACTTAAACTAAAGAGTATATATATTATAATAAGGTAAGAGAGAAAGCTTATTAACTATATTAAATACTTTATTCCAAATAAGAAACCTCTTAAAAATACTTAAATACTTACATATTAATTTTCTAGCTAACTATAAGAAGTATAACGCTTTTAGCTATTTATTATAATTTTTATTTATTTAGAGTATTAAACTTCTTAACTTTATACTTCTTAATAATATATATAGCTTTTAGTTATATAATTATAACTTAATAACCTCTTAAGTCTCTAACTGTCTCTTTTAACTTTTGTTATACTCGTATATATATATATTAGTTAATAACTTTATAATCTTTAACTTTACTTTGGTAATAATGTAGTTTATAATTACTTAATTACTAACTATTAAACTATTAACCTATTTTCTTTTTTATATATTACTTATATTATTAATATTATCTTTATTATTATTTTACTATTTATTATATAAATTGAAATAGTTATTCTATTTTCTTTTTATTCTAAATAATTAAAGAAGTATAATAAAGATTTAAAAAGAGGATAAAAATAAAACCAACTAAAGTTAGAGAAATCTAAAAATACTTTTCTTTATTTAATTTTTAAAAAATAAGAATTAGTAGATTTGTTCTATGAATCAAGCTAGAAGATCCTAAAAGTTCTTCTAAAAAGTTAGTTATTGAAGTTATTAAAAAGATTAAAAAGAATAAAAAGAATAAAAAGAATAAAAAAAGTATATAAATAAATATATTTCCTATTTATTTACTTAGTTTTTTTATTATTAACTAATTAAGCTTCTGTTTATTTATATAAACTATTTCTTTTTTTAACAATACTTAATATTTATAAAAACGCTTATTTAGCCCCTTTTTTTGAACTTAAAATTACTAAGAATTCTAAGAACTCTACCTCCTTCTACTACTTATACAGATTAATTAGACTACGAATATAAAAATAAATATATAAGTATAAGCTTAATTAACTTATATTTTATTTATATTTTCTACTCTTTTTATACTTAGAATTATATAATTTTCAGAAAGAAAATAAATTATTAAGTAGAAATCTAGTAGTATTATTTTTATAATATTATATTGTCGTTTAGTTTTAAAAATATAGAAAGTATAATAGAAATTTCAAAAAAAGAATAAAAAGTATAACTAATTAAAACTAAAAGAATTTAAAAATACATATTTTTATTTAATTTCTAAATAATTATAATAGTTTATTTTATAATGTATTTTCTGCTTTATATAGTACTCTTAATATAACTTATTAAGAGAATAAGTTGTATAACTAATATAAACTTTATAAGTTCTTAATTTAAAAATACTTAAAAAAGTAATTTCTTTTTAAAACGATATACTTTCTTATGAACTTTTTAATTTCTTTTAATTATTGATTTTTAATAGTTATAAGTTTAGTTTATTAGAACTTTGATTTATTTCTTTATTATTATTAAGATATCTTATGAAATTAATAAAGTTGTTTTGTTTTATATTTCTACTTATATATAACTACTTTATATATTTTATAAAATGTCTTATTTTTTTAAAAAGATTTTTAAACTAGATTTTTACTTCAGAAATATATAAGTTAAACTTTAAATTTATAAAAACTAGCTTATTTAGTTTAACTATTTTAAGATTATTTATATTATATATAATGTTTCAAATTAAATTGATATTAACAACTATAATATATTTATTTTTAAAAATACTACTAAAATAAATATATCTTTTTCTAAAACTTATAGTAGTAAAATTAATAAAGGGAAATAAGATATTTATAAAATTGATTTTATCAAATAGAAAAAATTAGAATTTACAAAGAAAACTAAATAAAAATAGCTAACTTTCTATAATAATAAGAAATAAATAAAAATAGAGTCATTTTAATTTTAGTTATTTTTATATTTATATATATTTAACTTTTTCTTTAATTAATTAAATTACTATTAATTATATTCAAAAGATTTGTTTTTGAATTAAGTATAGAATATTTATTAGGTAGTTTTTTTCAAAAAAAAGCTAAAACTTAAAATAATATAAAAACTAGAAAACAGTTTTTAGAATAAATTTAAAACTAACTTCTTATGAATATTAGTAAAAAGCTTATAAATATAGTTAAGTTTTAGATCTTAAATAAACTAGATAAAAGTTATATTTTATTTAAGTTATACATCTTAAATATTTCTAAATTAAGTAAAAACATTAATCTTATTTCAATATTTTCCTATTCATAAAAACTTATAAACTAAATTATTTTAAATATTAAGAATAATACATTTCTATTTTAAATAATAGTTGATTTACTTAAGAGTAAGTTTATAAGAAATAAATTAATTACAAAGATTACTATAAAAAAGAACTATTTAAATATTCTTCATAAAGGTATATATTTCAATATC